ATTATTTCCGTATAGTTGCCAGATGCCATTATGAACATCAAGAGTCACCAGCATGGGATGATAAGGAGGATCTTGAGAGTCTCGGATTATGGATGTGCAGCTTACTCCGGAGTCCGGGCGCTCTTTCTTCGGGGATCAAGGACCAGCACGTCGATCTGATTAAGAATTAAGAACTTCTTCAGCATATTTAATCGAACCGTGTTTTCATTATACTTGACGGGGCCTTCGGTGCAGAACTGGGGTGTCGGAAGAATATACCGCGATTGCTTCGTAATCTGGAGTCAGAAACGCCTATCCGAGAGCTTGACGTTAGCTTGGACTCGAAAAGAATGGTTAAGATTGACTTAGGGTAGCAGAAGGGAATCAGGTGGCTTTATAATGGGAGATGAGAAGAATATGGCAGATCCGAAGATGCGTATGAGACTGGAAGATGCAATTGGGACTCGGCATTGCGAAAGTGATACCAAAAGTCTGCCAAGCGTCAGCTCAGCCATTTCAGCTCTTCTGGTCATGTAAGCTAGCAATGTATGTGTGGGACAGCTCGGACCAAAATCATAGGAGCAGCGATGTGTTGTGTAAGGCAAGTGGAGTATCAGATCGAGGAGCCTGTATAGATTGTAGAGACTGAAAACTGACCTAGATTCGGACTGCGGCATCGGGCCAACTGTAGATATCAAAAGGGCAAGGGTAGATCCTAAGATGAATAGCGAGTCGAAAGCTAGACTTGATCATTAGGAACTGAGATGAGCGTCATTCCTCAGACCCGGCAGTTTGCTTCATAGGTTCAGAACGTCACACAAGCAGCTAAGCAAGCACCGATCAACTTGGAAAGTTCAAATACGTTAACTACAAATCTGCATTAACGTATGTGAGTTGGGTTCGAGCGAGAACCTCCGTAGTTCTTTTCGGCAAATCTCATGAATACCCCAAGTGCCGCATGACCCAGCCAGCACATGCCCAAGAGATAGCTTGAATACAAGCCAGTGTAGCGTCGGCAGATACCATAGATGCCTTAAATGATGCCTTAAACCAATGGTCGCTAGAGATTATACGTCAGAAGATGACTCGCAACTTTAACCGAGAAGGGACAGGGGAACGAACCTTGCACTTTGACTTGTGAGGCACAGGCCTGACAGTCATGAAAGGAACATTATTCCGAAGTTGATAGCCAACCGATATCTGGCCTGGGCTATCCACCTTTTTGTTGCATTCCTTGCATCTCGACTGAGTCTCCTTGAAATGGGGCAGCCCCATGAACATCATCTTTTCAGCAACTCGCATCTGAGTTGAATACTTCTCCTGTGGTATATGGAATGACGCATACATCGGGGGCGATTGTGTTGTGCTTTACAGTTAATCAGTATTGATAGTACAGTCTTGATATTGACCTGTGTTTCATGCCCTGAGACATATCTAGAGATGCAAGTCCAGACAAGGGTGGTAACGAACCTGGAGTGTTTCGATGTATGGCGTATTTAATGATTGCGGAAATAGTTTTGGAAGTATATGTCTCGATCAGGGGCTGGTATGAGTTCTTTGGGGAGACGTCAGAGTTCTAGAAAGAGGACGTGCGATGTGGTCCGGGAGTTGAGGGGGGTTGAGTTCATATCGGGCGAGCCATGGGGAACCTGTTGATGAAAACGTCAGATGAGAAACCTGTACGCATACACAAGTAACCATAATTATTCAGATCTAACAGCATGATTCGATTTCCAGTGCTTGTGAACTTGCAGTCTTCTCATCGTCGGAAGACAGTATCTTTAGGTCCTGGAGGTGGTTCGCCCTGGCAGTATTTTGATTTTTCATCACCAGACATGATACAACGCTCTCTTCCTGCCTCCTGATGCTTTGTATGGGCCATTCTTCAATACTTCGAACTACTCCAAAGAAGTCATAGTCGATGCCCCGTGGCAAAACGTGTCTTTGTGCAACAAAAGAGACACAGAACGGAAGAGAAACAGGACGAGCGTTGGTCCTACAGTTTCTCACAAGGAAGAAGTTCCTACCGAAGAAAGCATCCCAACGGCTTTGTGCCACGTTACTGCTTCCCTCCATCTTTTTCGTCCGATCTAGCCAGCAATCACACCAACTGCCGATGACTTGGGAAAGAAATTTTCATAGATTCGGCCCGATGAAGACACCCTGAGATGGTACCGGCATATCTGGCCTGGTTTGCCTATTGCCAAGTCGATATGGTCACACAATCGGTTATGCAGAAGATTGCTTGGCTGGCAGTTCCTGGGATTTGATGAATATGCTTAGGTGAGCATTCCATAACCCCTGGCAGCTCAAAGTGGGATCTCAAACTGGCAGATCTTGCGAAGATATGGAGGAAGGACAATGTGCAAGGGTCAAGGTCATATTTAAATGCTTCGACACCCGCTCTCAAGATCTGTCGCTGAGATGGACGCAGCTGAGAGACAGATGACGGCGGACCCGATTGTTGTCAATCACCGATGAGTCAATGTCGGGAGGGTGTCGGTTCAGGTAAGAAGCCTCGTTATTATGTCCTATGCTGCGTTTGCGTATGACTGACGGATTGAAAGCAGTGCTTGCGAGTGAGGGTATCGACGATCGTTGGGTGGCTCAAGAAATCGGATTGCCTGCGATTGATGAGTACCTGTCCCTTAATAGACAGTTAGGCGTCAAGCTTGTACCTCGATTGGGTCTGGGAGAACCATGGCTACCCATTTGGTCTGATGTCCTTGGTTCAACTCAAGCCACCTCGCATATTGAAGTGTCGTCTTACTCTCGCTATGACCATACCATGATCGCTGCCTTGGTCGTGCCCCAGGAGTCGACGCTGTCACTGCGTTTTGTCACCAGACTTATCTCGAAGGATGGCCGATAGCTAGCGCGAGCCTGTTGTATTCAGACTGAGGCTGCTGTGGCTTCCGCCGAGTCCATCAGCACAGGTATCTATGTTGGTCTACCCTCAGGTGAGTTCGTATCATCTGCCAGGATGGGTGTCATCTAATCAACTGTAGGAGTAAACGAGATAGCACAAGACTGACGTGACAAAGTATAGAAAGTTCGTCATTTGGTGGTCCAGGCGAAATCGTTATCTGCGTTGGTGTTTGTCTACCAAGTGCGAACATCTCCAAGGCGCGGTTGCACTGAGTAGTGCAGGTTCATTCGCGGCAGTGCAACGGCTTTGTGCAGCACTTGATGCGATCATATGATATCGGCAGTTGTTTTGTTGGGTCCAAAGTGTGTTGTTAGTTGCGAGAGCAAAAATCACAAAAAGACGATGCGCTGTAGGGGGGGAACGGAAAGATGCATGCGGGAGCAACAAAGTGGGACTGAAGTTCAGCAGGAGCCGAGGAACGAGACGATAGCTTTTTGGGGGAAGTGGATAGCGCATTTCGACTGCCTGGGAGGCCCCTGGAAACGGTTGGTTCCTCATGCCTTAGCAAATATCAAAAACATCCAATGTCATTCTTCATCTCCTCTCCCAACGACTGCCCGTGACCACTTTCGCTGCCTAAACTCGCACAACAACAATAACATCATGTTTCAGGTCAGGCTGTCTTTAGATTGCTAAACGTGCGTGGCAAGTAATGAATGTCGAGGATTCCATTAACAAACATCACAGCATCAACCGAGTTCCCTTCGGCGATGTCTATGGACGCTCTTTGCCAACGATCAATCACCGAGCTTCACTTTCGATTATTCTCCCTCTCTCCATCCGTTAAAACTCTATGCCATGAGAACAAGATGAGTTCCTGAGAGCCTCAGGCAACCGGCACAAGCATCAGTCACTTCGCGAATTCTCCGATATTGTGACATGTTTGTCAAGTGAAGCACAGGAGCGACTGGCCTATAGACTACGACATACCATAGATGCTGACAGAAATAGATCTCCATGGGAGGAAATCGACATGACACCTTGTGTCTAGCACCTAGGACGCCTTATGACAAATACTGCATTTTCCCTGTGTCCCAAGGGCGCCTTGGCTAGTTACATGGCCGCCTTGCCAGCATGGAGTTTGCGCAGCGCAAACAATATTCAGCTTTGTCACGAACGCCCGGCCATATCTCTCAAGATCAAAGAAAGACGCATACGAGCTATCTCTCAGCGGGTACAGAACTTAGGATAGCAAAGTTATGCAACTCAAGTGATCAAGCCACGACATTATTCGCTACACGAGCACAATCACTGTCACAGCATGCACAACTATGAGGCTCAAGACATGAAATTTGAACCCCCATCCTTTCTGTTTGGTAGTTGCCTCGTATCCCTCAATGCTGTTTGGGATGTAGAAAGGGTTGACTACCAAGAAGGAGGGTAGTGCCGATATCAGTACTTGCGTGCACCCAGACAAGTAGCGAAATATGGGAAGGTCGATGCTGTGAGTTGACTCCGAAGCCCTCCAAGTTTGCGATTGCTAAGAACGTTACTGGCAATGATTGCTGAGCGACCTTCCATCAACTTACCTAGGGAGTTTGGTTGACGAATCTCACCTAGCATCCTCCATGATTGCGCTCGTGGCTGATTTCGTTTGACGAAGTTAAGGTGCCATCAAGCGTTTTACTGCGCCTCATCATCTATCACAGCGGGCAGAGGGAGCCAAGGTGTACAGGCAGGCAACATTTGTATCCTTGGCTCCCGGGGTATTACAATATCAAGCATGCTATGGAAGCCCAGCCTGCGTGTAACTCCTTTCAGCATAGCTACACGAAACGAACTGGATTAAGCCTCTAGCGAATATGCCTGATCTCGGCTAATTCGTACCTTGACCTCAGTCCGTGTCGAGGATTTGGATGGCGCTGAGCCCAGAGCTATATAGGATGGATGCCCCCCGAGATACAGCTGTCAAAACGCAATTTGACGAACTCGACTAAGTATGTTCCCATACTGATCAACCCGAGCTTATTTTGGATCACCGACATATCTCAGTATACTTTTACTTTGGCAAGTATATATTGTCACGCATCTAGTCTTCCCACGTCTGTCGGGGACTAACATTTCTACACAAGCCTGTGCCAGATCCTTCACCATGGGCAGCGGCAAAGGCGGCAGCTCTTGGGTCAGTAGGAGCAGTAGCAGCAAATCTATACGAGAATGCCATGAGGACAAGTGTCATAAGCCGGTAGGGAAGTTTAAGCACAAGGGGTATTCAGTCCACTGCGATAAGCGTGAGCATAACCCTAATGTTCTTATGGAATCTGAGACTCATTTTACTAGATGCTTGTAATTTCGGACCTGGGTGCAAGTTGAGCAAGCATTCAAAGGATAAGTTCTGCGCCGACCGTGAGCAGCCGACCAATTCCTCTTTCCGATATGGCTGACTCCTCTCAGACTCTGTGTGTGCTTGGCTTAAATGCGATACAAAGGTGCTGGATGTCGAAGGAGGCAATTTTCTTTACTCTAATATTGGTCACCAGCCATGGCTTTGCCGCGATCGTAAGTCCTTTACCCGAGGTCGAGTTCCAAGCCTGGATGCTGATACCCTCAGACTCCTGTAAGGCAAAGGTCAAAGACAAGCAGTGCTACGAGCTACGCGATAAGAACTCCCAATATTGTGAAGAGCACTCCAAAGAGTTCCAGTGCAAGATGGCGAAATGCGACTCCGACCGGGATGGTTCTGAACGGTACTGCAAGAAACACCATTGTGAAGTGGCCGACTGCCACCGTAAAACACTCAAATTAGAGGATCATGAAATGGCGGGTCGAGACAAGAAAAAGTGCTATAGGCATCAACACTGTGAAGCTTCGAGAGACTGCAAGAACTACTCTCTTTGGGATCCCGACAAAACTCCAACGAGGCTCTGTGCGAACCACTACAAATGCCAGTTCTTACACGACTGCAACGGCTTTGCCCAAGGAGATTCAAGATTCTGTACTGAGCATGAGTGCGATCAACAGGGCTGCCTGCAGCCTCGGGATGCCCATAACGGCCTGATTATGAGATGGTGCCATATGCGTAGGTGCTTGCTTCTCAGGTCTTTGCAAAACTAACAGTCCAATGTAGACTTATGCTCCGCGCCTGGATGCCCAGACTTTGCGAACGGACATGGTCACGCCCACCCCCAGAAATGCTTCCGACATACTTGTCAAAGAGCAGACTGTTCAGAAATCGTCCAGGACAGCCATCCCAACTCTCATTTTTGCCAAACTCATGCCTGCGTTGACCCTTCATGCTCTTATGAGTCAACAATCCCTGGTGGCTATTGCTACGCCCATGGATGCAACACACCAGGCTGCCGTGCGCCCCGAGACCGCGGCTCTGCATTCTTCCCCTCTCTTTGCAGACTCCATGGGGATGAGAGACAGGAACAAGAGATGTACTATTATCATACCGCTTCTCCTTCTCGAGCAACATCTCGCTCAGGTAGCAGGACTAGTAGCCATGACTCCCGGCGCATTCCGAGGACATTTCGCCACCAGCAATACCATTACCCAGCATATCAGGATCCGTTTCAGGTCTCAGAAGCTGATCGTCGATATGAAGCGTATGATAATGCAGATGATTATTACCGGAGGATCCCAAGATCCCGGTATTACGATTGATCGATTTAGGGTCTTAGACACGATGGGTAATGGGAGCAAAAGAGTTTGGTACTAGATCTGACAAGGCGTACACGTCACGGGTCATCAACAGCACATGGCATTGCGGTTACATGGCGTTATATTTCTTGAGGGAGGGTTATAATTTGCACACGCCTAGATAGATGGATAGATACAGCTGGACCTATTGGGTTCGGGACCTAACCATCTGGCTCACAAGGCTCGATGTGGGGAGGCAGCGGGGAAGCCGTGTGGTACAGCATATACTCGAGAAGACCCCAGTAGATGTCATTTATTCTTGGATTTAAGCTTAGTTATTTATGTCTTTATAAGCTATTGATCCCTGCTGAAATGTGATGAAGCTTGCCGAGTGTAACGCGGGACGGTTTGGGTAGAGTCCTGAATAGATAGGTGAAGGGGCAGCGAGAAGAGAAGAAGGGAGAGGCATTCGTTGAGTCTCGCCCACGATCTCACTTCAATTCAGGTATTTCTGGATTATCTCTTTTGGAGATAACTGCCTTTTCTTCATGGATACTCTTCTCCATGTTTGCGTCGTTCGAGCGTGACGTTCTTGTGTTCGGTGCAATGAGCTGAGTCAGCTGTCATTCATCGCTGATGTCTGGGTATCACGTCGACCATTCAGTCACTCGACCCGAGCCTCAATCCTATCCGCTGACAGGGTAGCATCTCAAGAATTTCTTTTATCACGGCTCTCCGTAGTACGCCAGATGACATCCGTTTCCCCTGTATCCTCCTCCGACATCTTCTTGGAGGGCTTGGCTTGCTTGTAGAATACCGTATCAGGCTTCTTGAACACACGCGGCTGGATCTTGGGCCCGCAGATACAGTTGATTATCTTCCCGTTGCTATTGTAGATCAGTTTGGAGTAGCTGGGGTATTTAGTCCCAATGTTCAAGAGACGGGATATCTGGGTCTGGAGTCCGTGGTAGATGGTCATTTTGTCTGTGGTGTTAAGGGATCGATATGACTGATTTAGTAGTATTTTATGAAGATATGATGATCAAGATACAAGACCTGTGACTTATGAGCGTGGGAGATGGAGGTATTTATACCTGTTTGTGAGTTTACAAGTCCTCTGCTGAAAGTTTAGTGATTTGACTTTATCGTGATGATAGAAATAATGTATAGTAGGAGAATCCCCGCGAAACCTTACAACAGAAGATGAAGCCACTACACCAATAACAGTTTTTAGATGAGTAGAGAAAGTTTGGTCTTAATATGATATGCAAGCTGTAATTGGGCAGCAGCAGAAGTTTCCATGGCATTCACTTGGCCACCTACCTAGAGTTCACAAAGGAACTTCAAATTTGACATAAAATATCCAATACCAGTAAAACAAGTGTCAAATGCTCTTACTTTTCAGTTTGCCCTTCGGGTTCCCACTTACGTCAAGTTGCCCTTTATATACGCGGCAAAAGAGACGATGAAGGGACAAACACCCAAAGCCTAGCTAATGCTTCCATCTCCTCTGCTGCTGCTGAATGTTCGACTTTATGGGCACTTCCAAAGCACTTCACAGCAGTATCCCCATTATGTACTTATCATAGCTGCTTTTCGGACTAGTCTAAATATATCTCGGCAAAAGCTTCATTTGGTCCATTCTTAGCCAGAAGGTCTTGAGAACTACTCACATCCTGGCTCAGTCCTAGGACTTAGTCTCTAGACTCGCATTGCCGTCCGCACCAACGCGTTTTACGAGTCAAAAGAGCAACAGCACCTATCGAACTATCTCACTATTCAAATCTCAGTTTACTCCTTGATAGAGCTCTTGTGCTCTAGTATAGGAAGAGCCATCGAAGGAGATCAGATGTCAGCTGCGCATTCTACATACCCTAGAGTCCAGGCACTGAAAACAGTAGTGGGGATGTTGGTTTCAGGGCATTTTGCTCTTTCGACCGCCACCATCGCCAGGTACTTTATGACTTCAGACGAACATCTGACTATGCCAATGCAGAATAGAGTTCAATCAATCTTCGATCGAATCATCTCCCCCAAAGCACGATCCATCCAAGACCGATAAATTCACATGCATCTCCCGAATGCCCGGGACTCTACCTAGAGTGGAGCAGCCCGGCTTGCCCCCGATCCGAGAAGTTGGATGAACAAGCCCGTTTCAGCTCCGCCAAGAACGATCGAGCCAAGCAATATTAATCAATGCTATACATATAAAATAGCGATAAGTCGTCTAAATACGGGGTATTATCGAACCTTTTCACAAGGCTAGTGGAGTGTTATGGCTGTTTTGCTTGCAGGTTTTACCAGCGTCACATCCCGGTATCGTCCCAGATCTGAGACAGATCTGAAAACAGGCTGGAGTTGACCGACCAAACATTTGATCAAGACCGGCCGAAGAAATGGTCTCAAAGAGTAGAGAATGATCAAGTGAGAGGAGGGAAATAGTTAGAGTTTATAAATGTCTGTGACAATGTGAATGGCCTCATCATCATCAGGTCACAACTAGACTAAAGCTGATCACACTGTCCGCGCGCTTAAGGAATATCCTCAATTGGTCCCCGAGTTGCAGAGTCGCAGATGTTTCAACCAACGAGACGCATCCGCGACCGGGTCGTCTTGGCCCCGGCCTCAGTGAATCGCAGCCCTGAGACTCCCATTGGCTGCAGTTGTGACGGGTGGTATAACCCCTGTAGGGTCTCATACGACATGTTCTTCTCTTTTGTCAGAGCCATTCGCTCTTCTTCAAAGAACGAGCGGCTCGTCTTTGCTGAAAAATCCTCTCTTCATTCTTTTCTCTTCCTCGCTGGCGAGTGACTTAATAACCCCTACCAAATATTTTTAATTCCAAGGATTTTTGCTGCAACCCTCCTTTGCGACTCAACCTCCACCACTCATACCTAAACACCACACATCGCATACTTGCTTGCATACACCACTTACATCCCCCACAATGGGTAACAATCTCTCCTCAACCTTTGTCCCCGACACTTCGAAAGTCGTCCTCAGTCCTGAAGACCGACACTCGGACATGTTCCTCGGTATTTTCTGGGCATCGTCACTCTACGCCTGCGCCATGATCTTCAGCACCTGCGCTCTGATTGACCGATGGAAGGGTCCCTACGATCGCGTTAGAATGTCTCTCGGTTCAGTCATGGGCGCTTTACTATTATCGACAGCCTGGCCTGTTGTGATGGCATACTTGATCTTTTCGCCGGCTGAGGTCTAATGAGCGGAGGAAGTATTGGGTCACGGCCTTGGAAATGAGTACTTGGAAAGGATTTGGTTTGGTTGGGTTGGATTGGGCGATTGGCGTCTTGAGAATTGTGGTGGAAATGGCATTATGGTCAGACCTGGAGTTTGAATGCATACCACGGCGATATACCATCTAATACACTTTTTTTCTATGTTTATCATATTTGATCGACTCATCTTTCTTTAAGGCCGATGACCCCGTCCGTGTGAACTGAGACGCCCTCATGACCCTCTTCAAGTCTCATTAAAGCAACCCCAGTTGACCATTAACACTAACCCACCAGTGTATTTCGACGGCTTCTATCAGACCGCGCATCCTTTCTTCCAATGATAGTCTCAAGCGCTTGCGTCAGAGCCTTGGCATCATACCGTCCACCTCTTCCCTTCTCATCCTTGGGCCCATACAGCCTCGTCGCATCTATACCCAATTGTGTAAACAGCGGTTTGTCCACCTTGGGTGACGTTGGTCCTTCGATGTAAATGACATGCGACACATATTGACTATATTCCTCTTCTGTGGGTTTAGGTAGACCTCTTGAGTCAGCAAGAGCATTTGCGATAGCTCCAACAAAGTCCAACCCTGTGAAGGGCGCTGTCGAAGGGCCAGTCTCGCGATCGGTTGTGCCGTTGAGAATGAGGATCTTGTTGCGCACTTGCAGGCTAACTATAGCATCGCCGACACCACGGAGGACAAGACTTGGGATTAATGATGTGAATAGGGAGCCAATGCTGTATACTACGCTGTGCACAGATCGGAGGGCGTCTAGAACTCTTGGATTGGCGGGCATCTTGATCTCCTCGCCATATGGGTTGATGTACCACACTCGAGCGATCCTTGCGGGTAGGTCTTCTTCTTGCTCTTTGGAGAACGCAATGGCGGGTCGGCGTAATGCAGGTAATGTCCCTGGTAGATTCGCGTCTTCAACATGGTGGTGGTCTTGATCCCATGTTTGCTCTTGTCGCGATACTGTTGGGCTGTGCACACCGGCTGATGCTCCAGGCACAGCGGCGGTTGGAGCGCTGGGATGCGAGATGTCATTCTGACCTGTGATTATCGTGCCATCTCCAAGACCAGCAGCGATATGGCTAGCAAAGTTGGTGTTTAGCGCAGGAAGGACTGCTATTCTATCCGGCACTGAACATATTGAGCTCAGCAGGTAGATGGCGGCCTCGAAACTACCGGTGAAGAGACGGGCGCCTGTGAGGAAGAGGTTTCCAATGCTGGCTCCAGAGTAGTCAAAGCGACTGCTCGGTTTCATGCGCTTCACGACCTCTAGATTGAAGCTATTCAGATAAGATCTAATGAGTTCTCTCTTGGGCGATGAGATGTCATTCCAGAGAGGATGTGTCGCTTCCAGAATCTCAAACCATTCTGATCTGGCCTCAGTGTAGACCTTTGGCAAGCGATGGTTGAAGAAGTGCTTGATAGCTCTCGTCTCAGAACTTTCATCGTTCGGAATAAGACGAACAAGTCGGGACCTCACATCTCCGATACCTAGAGAACCCTGCCAGTCAATACTAGGCGTAGCATTTAGAAGAGACACGTGGAAATGGGAACATACCAGGTCCACCAAAGACACGAATGATCTCACTACTGCTACCGCCATTATCAGAAATGGGTATCACGTAGCTCAGGGTGCACTGATTCGCTTCTCGAACGCTCTCGAAGACATCGACGAGGTTGTTAGCGGCGCTACCACCCGAGAAGACGACTATGCCCGTCGGAGGTGCCGCTGGTGTGAGGGGCCGGCGAGGGGTCGGTGGTGCTGAGGATCCACTAGAGCTTGGGAGCTGTAGACCGAGGCCATTAAGGTTGATCTGTGCCTGCGCCTTTGCCTGTGCCTGTGCCATTGATTGGTGGTCGGGGGAATTATGTGATTTCTGTTTCTCTGGGCGCAGAATGGGGACGGATTCAGAATCTGGAGATGGTGTTGATGACAGATGACGGTTAGCGGGGCATTCTCGACTGTACGGAGTAGAGCCCTGGTAACGTTATTGCTTCATGACCCAATTATTTCCAATTGCAACGGTTTACAGTTGACAATTCATTCCAATTGACGAATGAATTTACTTCAATTGAAGATAATTGTAGCATTTTGAAGTGAATGAGGCTGTTGCTGCCAAGATGCAATGTTCCAAGCTCATGCACATACTCAATGAATGCATGAACCCACGAGTCATGGAACAAACGTGGCACACGCTCCAATGACTTTTACACTCCAACGTCAACATCACCACCGAAAGCGGTAACGCCCCGAGCAACCGGCCTCGAACCGGGACCAAGAAGCTTTGACACTTCGGATCCGTGTGGGTACAGCGCGGGCAATGAACCGCAAAAGAAGAAGGAAAAAAAAACATGATGGCTTCATTATCTACAGAAACAAGTGGAACTCGGAACTCTTAGTCCCAAGCCCGTCATTGGCTCCCATGGCCCGGCAGTTGAAGCTTTGCCACAACTGGAGAAGAGCTATCACGGCAAAACGTCAAGAGTTACGTCAGTGATGTATGGATGATGGATCGCAAGAGCTGGAGGTTGCGTTACAAATCTCATGCACAGACGTTGGTTCCTTACAAATCTGCATGTTTCGAGAATTACCTTGACGGTTTCTTTATAAAGATTTTTCTTATTATCTGATCGATTGGCAGGTATATATAGACTGGATCAAGCGTCATTGATAATCGGTATCATCATCAAACTCATACAATCCGAACCTTACACAACATCTCAACAGCCTCAACTCCATACTTCACAATGGCTCAATCTATTCCCAAGACTGTCAAGCAATGGACCATCCCCTCCCGTGATGGAAAGGACTTCAGCGGTCTGAAGTTCAGCGAGGAGTCTGTCCCCGAGCTCGGTGACGGCCAAGTCCTCGTCAAGAGTAAGTCCCAACTTCACTTCACACCCACGACAACCTTCTAACACTTCACAGTCCAGGGCGCTTCCCTCAACTACCGCGATCTCATCCTCCCTCTCGGAAAGTACCCCTTCCCCGCCAAGGACGGCGTCGTCCCCGGCTCTGATGGCGCCGGCACTGTCCTCGCCGTCGGCAAGAACGTCACCCGCTTCCGTCCCGGCGACAAGGTCGTCACTCTCTTCAACCAGGGCCACATCGGCGGATCTCTCGACCAGCTCAGCATCCAGACCGGTCTCGGTGGTGTAACCGACGGAACTTTCCGCACCGTTGGTGCCTTCGATGAGCACGGCCTTGTCCCTATGCCCTCTAACCTCGACTTCCACGAGGCTGCTACCCTCACCTGCGCTGGTCTCACTGCCTGGAACGGTCTGTACGGTCTTGAGGGCAAGAAGCTTCTCCCTGGCCAGTGGGTTCTCACCCAGGGTACCGGTGGTGTTAGCATCTTTGCTGTTCAGTTCGCCAAGGCTGCTGGTGCAAAGGTCATCGCTACTACCAGCTCTGCTGAGAAGGCTAAGCTTCTCGAGAAGCTTGGTGCCGACCACATCATCAACTACCGCGAGACTCCTGAGTGGGGAGCCAAGGCCAAGGAGCTCACCGGCGGTGCTGGTGTCGACCACGTCATCGAGGTTGCTGGTCCTACATCCATGAAGCAGTCCCTCAACGCCATCAAGATCGACGGTGTCATCTCTATTATCGGCTTCGTTGGCGGCACCGACAAGAGCGACCCTGGTTTCCTCGACTGTCTTTCCAACCTCTGCACTACCCGAGGTCTTCTTGTTGGAAGCCGTGCTCAGATGGAGGATATGTGCCGTGCTGTTGAGGCCAACCCTGATAAGCTTCGACCTGTCGTTGACCCCAAGATCTTCTCTCTGGAGCAGCTCCGTGAGGCCTATGAGTACCAGTGGTCTGGCAAGCACCAGGGCAAGGTCTGCGTCAAGATTGAGTAAGCGATGATTTATGAGAATATATTGCCGGATGCCATGTGTCTTTGGCTTTAACGTATAATACATAGAATTAATAGATACCACACTTTTCGCATGACCAAGTTTCGTACATCTCAGTAAGATCTTTTGACTGCACTGACAGACCATTGCTCCTCTCATTTGAACAGTGAAGTTCAGCAATCATATCAATATCCAACAATTGATTGAAATTAATTACATTCCATTGGACACTCAAATGTGTCACAGCTCATTTACTAAAACTGTTTGCCCAGGCTTCCAACGATGTCCATCCATCCCAAGCTGTCACTTCAATCTAGCAAGCAGTCTACTCCAATCTCGCGACAAAGGAAACGTCGCGGTCTCAAAAGATGATCGCAGCGATACCAGCCAAAACACCAACCAAACTGAACTTCTTCGACGATCCTTCATTAACGATAACCGTGCTGGGCGTGGGGTAGGGTGTTCCGGGCACAGGAACCGGCGCAACAGCGCTCGGGACAACAGGGGGAACAGAGGCGGTATCAACAGGAGGAGGAACAATAACAGCAGTCGAAGATCCCTCCAAGATAGGAGATTGAGTCTCCGCGCCTCCTCCACCCTGAATAATAGTAGTCGTATCAGCACGAGTAGTACCACCGCCCTCGCCATTGCAGATACTGCCGTTAGGACAGCATCCGTACTGCTGGTTCGTTCCGACTTCGCAGTACGCTGTAGGAGGACATCCACCTGCACGGCTGGGACAGCATGTCCAGTCTGTTTGAATACAGCCGGTGCCGCAGTCCTTGAGGTTCTGGTCGGCGCAGGGAACCTCTACGACTTGACGGACTGCGAGGAGGGGAAAGCTGGGGGAGTATTGGACAGCGAGAACGCCGGTGGCTGAGAGGGCGACGAGCAAGAACTTCTTCATCTTGAAGTTGAGCTTGGATTTGTGTGCGTTGGAGCGAGTGGTTGGTGGTTGTTGCAACGAGTGACGATGTTGGTGAAACTGTATCTGTTTGAGGGTGCGATGAGAGGTGAAGAGAAATGCGAGACATACCAAGCCCTCGGGGGTTTATATGCATAGCATTCTTAAGCTCCCAACGGAAAACTTTGCCATCCGATCTTCTCTCTTCATTGTAGTTCCTCTCTCATGCCGCGTGCGGCGGCTTCGCTCAAAAACGCCAGAGACATTCCAGCCACGATGCATCTACTCCACCACCCGCAACCATCTACTCCCCCAACATCATTTCCAATTCCGACAAAGCGTCAAGCCTCGTTTTCCTGCATCGTCGGCTATTTTTGAACATCCAGATCTGATGTTGCTGCAGCAATGAGGTGCCTCTTCTCGATGCGCCCGGCGTTTTGCAACTTTGAAGATAACCGCCTCCGGTTTTTGCGGCGCATGGCTTGATATTCAGGGCAGGTTACCAGAATCTGTTATCTTGTGACGGTCGGCGTTTGGGTGGCTGCTTGCGGCGTCACGGATCTTGGTTCCTGGTGTTGGAGCTTGGCGCTTAGAGCATTTGCGTTGAGTCAATACGAGATTTGAAGATGGGATTATTGTGCCAGGTCTAGTGAGGGGAAGTAGTTGATGTCATTGGAGATCGGCCAGGAACAAACGCGTGTTGAATCTAGTCTCGGCAAGGGACGAAAACAAGGTGTCTAGATCTAAGACAAAATATTGGCCCGGCGATCTAGAGGCACGGGCCTGTAAGGGAGTTCCCTCCGCTAGTGGTTCACACTGTCCCATCTGTTCAGGCGATTGCCATGCATTTCGTGACTTGCAAGGGCTTCTGATGTAAACACTTTGGGCATATAGTTGAAAGTTTGTGCCGTTTTATCGAAATAATACTACGAAGAAGACTGTATCCCAAATCTATGTTTGAAGTGAACGGAACATCAACAGACAAGAAACAAAGTGTTATCAGCCCTATTTCTTCTCGTTACCCCAGGCATCTTCTAGAAATTCCCGAACAGTAATGGGCTTGATATCAGGGAAGACCTTGTTTAGAGCCTTGCTCTCATCCAAGTTGAAGCCACCAGTCTCTACCCACAAACCATAGGCAGACATCACCTTTTTCATGACCGCCTTGGGTGCAGGAATATTGGCAAACATCGCCTCATGGCCTGGCAGCTCACTCAACTCTCCCTTCTTCAGCGTCTCGACACTATCATAAACAACGTTGAACTTGTCACCTATTGAAAATTAGCATCCCTAGCTTTAGCCACAAAGCTCGCCACGTACCTGTAGCTTCTTCAGCAATCTTCACCAACTCGTTGAATGTGACTTTGTCGCCAATGATGTACGTTGCTTCGTCCCATTTATCAAGGTTGAGAAGCGCAGCAACAAACTTGGCTACATCTCGACTATACGTAAACGTGACGGGAACCTCTCCAGATCCTGGGATGGCAGCAGCTCGATGTTTGATATCGACAAAGGTTGAAGGAGTGTGCAAGTTTGATTTCGCTGCTGATTTAGGGGAGCCCCAGAAATCGAGAAAGAAGCCGATATGGATGGAGGTCCATTCGAGTTTTGTCTTGCGTAGCTCGTCTTGAGCACGGAGTTTGTTGTTTGCTGAATTAGCTTGAGCTGCATGCCTATAACTCTTTGTTAGGGACTTGTTTCCAATGCGGACTGTGAGGTATTTGTCAAGCGTTTGCTTACTCTTCACTATGTGGAAGACCCCAATCACTTGAGATGAATCGTTCTGTTGCCTGGGATGCTTCTGATGCATGGATAATATCAATTTCGATGGGCTTAGGTCCGTTCATGCCAAGTGTCGAAATGACTGTGTGTACATTGTGCTTTTCAAAGAGCTGGGTTAGAGCATCGATGTTTTGAATGTCCACGGCCAAGACAGGAGCTCCAATCTCTTCTTCTAGTGCCTTGTTTTCCTTCGGTTTCTGTTAGTTACGTCCATAAAGCCTTCTTGTGAAAAGCTTACCTCTCGACTGAGGATAACAACTTTATGTTCTCCTGCAGCAACAATAGCCTCCACGAGAGTTCGGCCGACCTTCCCTGTACCGCCAGCAACTGCAACAGTAACCATTATGTCTGATGATATCGTTAAAGAGGATAATTTGTGATGTTTGATAAATGATGGGTTCTAAGCTTACTCCTTCATAGCTCAGCTCGTATCTTTATATACCGCAACTCCATCTTCATCTCCAACTCATTTCTAATCACCGCACTTACTCGGACATCTCATTCTGCGAGTTTTCCGTCAATTGTCAGCAATCGGTTGTTTTTCGTATTACCCATTGGTCGCCCGGTCTCTAATAAGTCTGACATGCATATCATCTGCACATCAAAACGGGGCGTGTTCGACCGGTGTCAGCGTAGTGATTGGACCACTGCCAATTTAAGCACAGCACGCACCTAAGACCCTCTAAAGCCGAGCTACTCCGTCTTAAGTCCTGCTTAAACGCATTGGGTAATTGTGTTGGCTGCCAATGCTTGGTCAAATTCCAGTGGATGTCTGAGATCGAGACTTGTGCTCGGATAGAGTTTCAGGGCCGGGAAGTCCAGATCTGGTCGATCTGCACGCTAAGAAAGCTATTTTGATGAGGGCCAGGAACGAGATATGCCGTTGTTGTTCGACCCCTGGGCGCTTTCCGCCACTTGAAGCTGAGCCTGGAGTATGATGACTGTGAATACTTTGCGGTTTGGCATCTTGCATCACTGAATCTCAAGGACGGTTGACACAGACTTCTTTTCGTTGATCTGTGTCTGAGAATCAGCGCAATCTGTTGTTACAGGGTAAAGTTTCTGACTGGAATGTCTCGTTTCGGGGACATTCACTGATCACCACCAGATCGCAGTAGCTGCTTTCGTCATCAAGTAAACGAGGTTGTCTCGGGACATCGATTAGTGTGACATCTTTCAAGGGCTCAAAGGCCCACTAGGGGAGGAAAGAAAACTCAGGACTGTAACCCTAAACGATAAAAACACTTAGGTAAATCTGGCCTAAACTTAGGAGACTCTTTGCTAAGTTTATTTTGACACCCCATAATAAGGTGCCGTCTAAGTGCCTTGGCCTCTATTCTTTCTCATCAATTGCTGTTTTGACTTAGAAATGGGAGTCTCGGGGCGCCGGATTTTCTCGAAGCCATGGTCGTCCAAAATCAGAAAACACTCAAGGCTGAGCGTCCTTTTAATCGGCCTTGCATTTTGTCAGACCCCCTTATATATCTTTCCTTGGTGAGGTATAGAACTCATCTGACAGGCAAAATGGTAGACCAATCAGTTGCCCTGGAGGCCGATGACATCGGAGTCAACTGAAGCGTTCACTCAAGACCGAAGACGATCAACTACCCGATAATAGCGAAACTTGACCGACATTCTTAAATTACTTCACAAATGTATTAACATGTCTCAGCTCAGAGCGCTATCGATATCTGCCAGTGCAGTTTCTCGGGCGGAGTGTTTAGTCTATTACTATCCCATGACCACAATATGCTAGCATATCTGTGCTCACAATGTCAGCTTCAACAACTCTTACCAATGAATGGCGTCTAATTAGAACAAAAACTCCTAATAATCTCTAAGTACTCAGACTGATCAACTAATTACACTGTCATCATGTCGCACAAATATGCACGTTTCTTTGCATTGGGCTTGACGATGTGTCAATGATCCGGAGATACCTCCGGTCTTGGAGTGCAGACTATCAGAGACTTAGAGGCTTTCAATTGAGTGCTATTTCTATGGGATAGAAGTCGTGCTACCTTTTCTCCCAAGTTATCCATTCTTCTGGTCTAATCCACATGCTTTAATATGAATGTAGCAAAATACTTCGGTATCTACAATGTCTCTCAACTCCAACCAACTCGACCCTTAACAGCATCCTCTCCAGCCCCTTGGCAATGAGGTCATGGATACTAAACAGGGGGATCCCGATAAGCTTAGGTTTGATCCTTTTGATGTCACAAAGGTTTGGCTGCGATCGTAGTTGCGAATGAAGGGATTCGGAAGATTGGTTCTTATCAAGAACCCCAGGAACTACCATCGCAATGTGGAACAGGCTGCGTTTTTGCCTGGCAGTATGTTTCTTGGTATTGAGGACTCTCCTGGCCCTCTTCTTCAGTTCCGCATGTTCTTCTACCGCGACGCTCAGTATCGTCGCATCGGTGTCAATCTGCACCCAACAGCTTCGCTCACAAGTTCAGGCCTCGTGTCGCTGAGGCGCCATATCAGGTCAGCGACAACATCGTAAGCAGGGTTAATCACTATTGACTTGAGAGTAAGAAGAATGGCTACGATCAAGCGAAGGATCTGTGGACGAGGATCATGAGTGAGCAGGAGAAGAATAATGCTTGCTGCAATACAGCCAAGGGTCTTCGACGCGTCAAGTTTCCCGAGATCAAGGTAAGCAATCAAGCTACTTCGAATAAGACTTCAGCTGACAGGAGTATAGAGCAAGTATTTGGCGCAGGTGTAGAACATATCGGAGGATTATGCGTAAGGCATTTATGATCTTCCGGGCCAACCTCAGGTTGAGTTCCCCAAAGTCAAGGAACTGAGACACAATACTGTACTCATCTGCCGGTTTCCGTCCGTGACTTTCTAGCCTGAATCCTTCATGTACTCCTGGAGAATTTGAAGTTTACAATTTCAATTTATCCGTTCAGAATATCGTGAGATAATCGTAGGATTGAGTCGTGAGGGCAGTCTATGATGCTGACAATATGCAGAATCCTGGACCAAAGATGGAGATAAGCGGTGATAAAGAAGCTGACTGAGTGCCACGACCTGTGATAAACCCGATTCAAAAGCGAAAACGCGCGAAGGATTCAAATACATCAGCACTTAAGACAAAATTGACCAGCTCACTCAATCATGCCCATGTATATGTTGATACACAGCCCCAATTCACCCTCGCCAATTTACAAACATTCACAATCATGGCTCCAACAGATGCAGAGATCAAGGCCACTATCAAGGCCGTGGTCGACGACTTCAGAGGATGGGACCTTGCGCCGATAATGCACTATCCGAATGAAGAAGGCCTCGAATTCGAAGATATCTACTTCCCATCCGATGACGGTGTCCCTCTGGAAGGCTGGTTCATCCCCTGCAAGGGCTCCAACAAGATCATCATCGCCAACCATCCTCACTGGTTCAACCGCGCTGGTATCCCTTCGCATCTCGAACCCTGGAATCAACTCATGCCCGGGAATGACTTTGAAGTTAATTTCATACCCGATTACAAGATTCTTCATGATGCAGGGTATAATGTTCTTGCATATGATTTGAGGAACCATGGACTTAGTGGAAGCGGAAACCAAGGTCTCTTCGGCTTCTTTGAGTGGCGCGACGTTCTTGGATCGTTGAAATATGTTCGTGGGCGGGATGATACCAAGGACATGACGATTGGACTGTTTAGTCGCTGCGCCGGTGCAAACGCAACACTCTCGGCGATGAGACATCGCCCTGAAGCATTCAAAGGCGTAAGATGCATGATTGCACCCCAGCCTATATCAGCAGGGTCCTCCATTGCTGTGATGCTTGACAGAATGGGCGCTCCGGCATCGTACATGGAAGAAGCTGATCGACAATTGTTCATGAAGACGAGTTTTCACATAAGTCAATTGTCGCCGCCGACTGATGCGAAGCACGCCAATGTGCCTACGTTTGTGTACCAGGTTCGCGATGATCCTTGCACGACGCCGAAGGATGTTCAGTCTATTTATGATAATATCCCTATCCAGGACAAGAAGTTGAAGTGGATTGAAGGGACGGAGAAGAGGTGGGATGGATATACGTACTTTCAGAGGGAGCCTGATCAGTTCTTGGAGTGGTTTGCAAAATACATGAACTAGGTACAGCATTAGACAATTCTAGCTTTCTATCGCGGTTGTATCATATTATTAATAATGGCTCTATCAAACAAAAGCAAGGAGAATCGTATATAGTTATCCTGAATCCACAGATACGGTAACAGTTGTCTGTCAGCATCAAGACTTTTACCATCTCATGGCATTCAGGTTTGTAAAGCCAAGCCAAATTACTTTATTGCCCAAACTCACCTCATACTGTGAAGTGCTCCCTCTGTAGTTGCCGCGTTGACCCCGTATCGCTAGCCACATCATCGTACTCAGACCTCCTCGCCTGCTTAACAACAACTTCCGTTCGAGTGGTCTTCTGGATACCTCCCTCCAATCGATCCACCAGCTCTATATCGTCTGTATTCGCTTCGATAAACGTGGTGTTGCCGCCAACGAACATTGCTGACGGTACTTTGCTTTTTCCGGTCTGTTTTGAGCTCTTCTTTTGAGTGCTATGGGATCTGGAGCCGGAGTAGTCGGGATAGTCGCTGTTATTGCTGGCCTTGACGACCTTGATGATGAGGTCTGCCATGTTCATTTCGATGTGGAGTTTAACGAGGTAGGCTAGGGGATGGAATTGGACATATCTATAGAAAGGAGTTAGCAGCTTGACGGGTGGCTTGGTCAATTTGACTTACACAATGTCGTTTGGCAAGGACATCATTGCGATAAGAAGGATCTGGTAGGAATCAGTATCTATAGCAGCAGATCGGGAGGTGATGAAAGCATACATCCATAGTCATTGAAACAGCAATCATGCCCAAATTGAAGCGAAACAATCGAGTGTACTTGGTTAGGCCGTTCGCAATAAGCCTCGATCGCACGAGGTGGATAAAGTACAGGTTGAGCCCTGCATCAACCACTAAAAAGATGACCTTCTCGATTCTATCCCAGACTTTGTTGATGTCAATCCAGGTCTTGTTAACCTGCAGCCGAGCTGGGATCCAGATTGTGAAGACACTGATGTTGATGCATAATATGATGATGAAGGAGTATATCTTGAGTCGCTTGGCATTTTGTCGGTTTACCATGAGGATCGCGATTCGGTTGATGATGATTTGAATTAGTGCTTGAAGCTGGATACACCAAAGGAAAACTTCACACCATTAGCCTCTCCTTCAGGACCGCCAGGGACGTCAGTGTGATAGCAGCGGTGACTTACTTAGAGTAAAGAATACCGGAAACCCGCCGGGGATGTAATTTCGTAGATAACACCAAGTAACAGCGCTCATGATACAGCTGCTCGTCCACTCCAGCCATATCAGTATGATACAGTGGTTCATCCTGCGTCCTCTCCTCCATGACTTGATGGTTTGTTGTATCCCTTTGGTGAACGTGAACAGCCCGACTCCCAGCGAGATTCCCCAAGCGATACTCGCAATATTCATGTCATTCTCTCCAGCATCGACTTCGATAAAGTTCGGTCCTTTCCACAAGTCCCCCATGGCGATAACTCTGTGCTAAACTCAGTCAATCAGAAGCGCTCAGCAAAGAAATCCAAAGGGCAAAAGGGACAGGAAGTATAAAAACAAGGAGACGAACGAGATAGTAAGCAAACGATGGGAAGCCCACATACATATCCAACACAGCATCGCCGCTAAGCCTTCAGATCTTGCGGATCCTGATGCCTGCGCCCAACTAATAACGTTGATCCTATTGAAGGGTAAAAAGCACAGACGAAGCATCCATTCTCAGGATCCGCAGCGATCGATCTTCGGCAGGGGATCCCAGAGCATGAGGCGAGACTCGATCTCTGGTTGGATCGGGGGTGTGAGGGATTCATCCAGAGATCCTCAGGGCTGCATATCTGCTGGTACGTTATATGGGGTTCGTGCATGGTTGGTAGGAGATAGACAAGTATGCTTTGGGGGTATTTTGCGAGTCGTCTGCACGAAGAATGATGCCAACATTGCTCAAGATATTGATGCTACTACGAAGTTAGCTAAAATTAAGAACAAGTCACTTGACAGCCCTACACGTGAAACAAGCAGATGTTCCAGAAAACGTCTTGAGAAATGCTTCAGCAGTAGTACACATCACGGATCATGGAGTGACACTCTTTTTCGAGTCAGGTGGACCCATGTCACCGGCCGCATATCACCGCCAGGCCCTTGCTTTCTGTAAGAAAAGAAATATGCCGACTAGACGAACTCGACGCTATCGAACTTTGAATGGTAGAAACGTGGTGAGTGGCAGGGAAGAGGAGAGCTGAGGTTGATGCTTTTGCAAAAATTCTCGGAGGGGTTGCTCGGTGAAGATCCGGGACTGTTAACCACAGCACTCACACGATGCATTATAAAATTTGGGCAGAATGGCAAATATTGCACTGTAGACTTTTGATGTTGGTCAAACAGGGCGGTTCCTTGATGCAGACAATTCTTCAACAAAGACCAACCGACCACATCTACAGCGGGTCTCTTCCACTGAAGAAACTTCCACAAAAGCAAAACAGCAAATGCAATCTCGCACAAATGAGCTCTCACAACTGACCAGATCTCGTCTCGTCTCTGTTCCCAGCTCCAAATTGCGGCTCAACATCCTCGTCGCCTCAATAGCGGACGATCAAGGTCTAGCACTATAATTATGCACCGGTGGAACGGATGTTTCCTAACTACGAGCCTGGAGCCAATGGTCTAACTCCAGTCCACTGTGAAACATGCCACGTGCATAGTCGGCGTGTTTCGTACGCTATTCATAGCGGCCGCTATAGGGCTTGGTGAGGCTGTAGTGGATATTTTCACAGGAATAGCAGAGCAGCTTCATTCTGTTGAGGAGTTACCACTTGTATTTTGAAGGGTTAAGATAGGAAAAAGAAATTTTGCATATAATAGTACCCTAACAAAAGAAAGCAGATCATCTGATTGCTACCTAACATTCTTGGTGACACTGGACAGATCTCATAGGCAAGCCCTGTAAGCCTGAACCCTGTCTTCGGCTCCGCTACGGCTCCCAGATGCAAGTTGTTACAGATATGGGCCTGAAGAATTGATGGGCGGTCAATGCAGTGAAGAGTCGTGCTTGTATATAATTGGAGGGACGTGTCAGCCATTGAGATTACCAACACTTCACTGCGGAGATGATAGATGATGGATGCTGGTGGTAAGCTCGAATGAGTATGATGTCATTGACTCCCGAGTCTCTCAGGTCAAACCTCACTGCCTCCTGCAACCGCACTCTCGCAGCCGTTCAATAAAGAGAAGTTCACCTATCTCAAAGTACAACTATACAAACATCTCACATTCCACTTTCTGGTAAATCCAATGCTCCATTTGCCTGTCAACTCATCGTCAATAAAGATCGTACATGGAAACATTCAAGTTTGTCATCATGCGTCTGCTCAATGGGCATTGACTCACCCGTGCATGGTCAACACAAGCAATGGTTTTATCAAGCACTTTTGTAGGATTACTTTAAGGGGCTGTGCAGAATAATAGAAGAGATTTCTGGTCTTTATGCGATTGGCTGGTAATTGAGTTGGCCATGTTCTATTCATTTGTGACCTTACTTTGACAATCAAGCTTGTAAGTTATGGCTTGTTGTAGATTCATTCTCCTGCACTAGATAAACACCACAGTCCATATTGAATGTATTAAATAGCTACATGGATAAACAAACACTGCTACTTCGATTAGAGTTTCTACATATATCTCTTAGAGCCAATACTTAACAGAAGCACTTTGCAAAGCACCGTAACAGAAGATAGAGAATGGGCATTGCATGGTATAGGGTGAATGTTTGGAAAAGCACACACACGCATGCCAAAAACAAATGTTGCCTTCTAAGTGTCACCACAACGCGAGTCGCACCAAAACAATAATTTTGAGTAGTTTACTCATGGCCTCTGTTGAATAGCTCCAGCGCTCTGATCACTTATGACGATCCAGTAGTGGCAACCACCCCGCAATCCTCAGCAATCAACCATCTACAATACAACCTACCAAGTGCTAAGCCACCATGACTCCCTCATAAATCCCCCCAAGTCCTCACTTACACGACTCCAGAAATGCTCGAATTTATACCGCCATGACGAAGAGATCTCGTGCCTGCGAAGCCTGTCAGGCTCTCAAAGTCAAATGCGAGCCATCATCCGAAGAGTCATCCATCTGTGAACGATGTTCTCGTTACAATCTCACTTGTGTCCCTGCTGCGAGAAAGTGGCAGAGAGATAGGATTGCTGAGCTGGAGGAGCAGGTCAGGAATCTGCAGGATAAACTTGATGGTGCTACCAATTCGACTCTGGGGTTGTCGACTTATGCTGCTTCGACGAGGGCTACTTCGGTGTTCTCTGATGGAGCTTGGCCGCAGACAAGTGCTGGGCCATCAGAGCTGGGCTTCCTAGATTCTCGTCTAGACTACGATACTCAGCTTCGATGTCTGGAAGTCTGCTCAACAACCGCCGGGCAGTTCTGGTACCTTATACCTCCCGTCGACACCACCTCAGCACGCTCATGGCTAGACTCCCTCAGGACAGGAGCACCCGTCAAGCTCATATCCATGCTCGCCTTCACCATGTCCCCCTCCTCCGCCGAGATCGATCCCCAAACGCAAGAAGACCTACGAATCAAGACCTTCGAAATCCTCGGCCAAGCAGCCGTCGGTCTCAAGCGTCCCTCCCTAGATCTTATCCAGGCAGCGCTAATAACCGGTCTCTGGATCCGACCCTCCCTCGACTGCAACCACGGGAACCCGAACCAGCTTGTGTCGTTGGCGCACGATCTCAGCGTGGAGCTTGGCCTTGGAGGTGCGGAAATGCAGACTTCTGCACCGGCGTGGTTCTTCCGGATCCAGGGGCCGCTGACGCTGGAGATGCAGAAGATTTGGTTGGCGGGTTGGATGACTTCTACGATGAAGGCTGTTGGGCTGAGACGAGCGCATGATTTTGATTGGGGAACGGCGCATAATGAGGCTCTGGGGGCGTTGGAGGCTGATGGGTCGGATCAGCTGTTCTTGGAGATGCTTTATACGATTCGACTTCATGCGAAGGTTGCTAGTGCTCTCGAACTCTGCAACACTCGCACGTTTTTCGATGTCAACTCTGATGTTGTAGCGGCTACGAGGAACCAGGTCTACAATGATTTGAACGAGCTGAGCAACAGACCTCTTGCGGGCGATGTTCAACTTCGTTTCTGGAGAATGCTCGTCGCTATACATGTCAACGAACCAGTTCTACATACAACCACCAACAAAACCCTTTTCACATCCCCCTACATCTCCGAAAGAATCGGCGTCCACGACTTTGCCCGCGGTCCCATAACCCCAACAACAGCAACAGCCCTGCACTCCATAGTAGAAGCCTGCCACCTCGCCATCTCAATAGTCCTCGAAATGGACGCCTCCACCATCCTATCCCTTCCCTCCCTCTGCTTCGGCCCTGCGGTGAGCTACACACTCTCCATCCTCATCAAAGTCTTCGTGGCAGTGTCTGCACCGGGAAACACATACAGTCAAATCCTGACCCGAGAAACCCTGCACGTGCGAGAAGCCATGCAGAAACTCATATCCGTTAAGGAAGCGCTGCTAAAGCTCGATCCGCACATGGGTAACTGGAACACGAGGATCATAGGATCTGTGGAATGGCTGGGCGTTTGGCTGGATGATTACGAGAGTATTATCGAGCGCTATGAGGAGAATCTGCAGAGGGAGGTAGCAGAACAGGAAATCGAAGGACTCAGCCCCAATGGACATTTCTAATCAATTCCTACCGACTCTGTACTCTACCCCAGTAACATGCACCTTATTCCCTGTAGCTTGGATTTTTTCTCCTGCAGAAAGGGTCTAGAAGCCGTTAAATCCTACAGGGATGTGTTTGGCGCGGGAATCCGTGTCCTGTCACTTACACGGGTAGACTCACAAATGACGTACACGACTCTCGGGAGGCTTTAAGGCTGTGCAATAAGCGATCAGGGCTGTGCTGGCAATTAAGCTTGTCTTTCCCCAGGGTCTTTTATGGAGACGGTGAATTTTGACCGTGGATTTATGTGTGTTTTAGATGTGAGACCCTGGTAGTTGGGGATCAACATCATGATCACTGAGCGTTATGCATGGGATGAGCGAGAGTCGATGATGCTTTGACTTTGAGGGAGATGCTTGGTATGGAAGTGAGAAGGGATTGAGGAAGGGATTTGTTTGAGGTTTGAGGTTGGCTTCATGGGGAGATGTTGTGTATAAAGTGAAGGGAGAGGCACGGCGAGAAGAGAAGTCTCATCACTCACAGCTTCACATCTCCAAGCATCACAATACCACAATCGCTCTCAGCTCAACAGCTATCACCAGTTCTATAATTTATCATCAGCACCAAGAGTTTTCAAGATGAAGTTCCTCAACCTCGCAGCCCTCGCATCCGCCGTGGTCGCTCAATCCGACCTCGCCAGCATTCTCTCCTCCCAATCCGACCTCTCCACTCTCGCTGAGCTCCTCGCTCTCGTCCCCGACATCGCAGAGACTCTCGCATCCGCCAGCAACATCACCATCTTTGCTCCCACCAACGATGCGTTTGCCTCGGTCCCCCGAGACATTCCTGAGGGTGAAGCTATTTCTCAGCGCAACGATACCATCGCTATTGGTGCTCTGCTGTCAAACCATGTTTTCAAGGGCTACTATCCTGCCAAGGTTGCTACGGACATTCCAGTGTTTGTGCAGTCGCTTCTGGATTCGAGCTTTGTCAACTATCGTCAGCCGTTTGGGAACTTTACGGGTGGTCAGTATAATGGTATTGTGAAGGATGGCGATGATGTTGTTGTCATCTCTGGAGAAGAGACTCTGTCCTACGTGACTGAAGCCGTAAGTACTGCTCCATCTCAGACGTTGAATCGGTACTAATGATTTGCAGGATATCAAGGTCGGTGACTCGGTCATCATTCACAAAGTCGACAAGCCTCTCAGCTTTGGTGCTCCTCTCCAGCTCTTCACCCGCCGCGACAACCTCCTCAACTTCAACGCCGCTCTCAACGCAGCTGACCTCCCCTACAACTTTGGCAACCTGGACCGCGACTCCTCTACTCTTGTCAACATCTCTGACTTCACCGTCTTCATCCCCAACGACCCTGCCTTTGAGGCTATTGGTTCAGTCCTCGAGAGCGCTGATCTCAAGACTCTGCAGGAGGTGTTGAAGTACCACATTGTCGACGATGTTCTCTTCTCTACGGATCTGGCCAACGTCAGCGTTCCTAGTCTGCAGGGTGCTGATTTGACGTTTACTGTTGCTGAGGACGGAAGTGCTTGGGTGAACGGTGCTAAGATTCTCTTCACCAATGTTCTTCTCTTCAACGGTGTCGCTCACGTTATCGATGGGTAAGTCGTGCTTCTACTTGGCCAACAACAATACTGACAGCAATAGTGTCCTCAACCCTGCCGACGACCCCTTTGACCGCGCTGATCTCAAGCCCGCCGCTGAAGCTGATGACCGCCTTGCTTTCCCTGGCGCAACACCTGTCTCCAAGCTCCCTTTCTCAGTCATCAGCTATGCCGACGACAGCCAGCCTACTTACACCACCCCCGAGCTTCTCAAGACACTCAAGGCCATTGACGTCTCAGCTCTTGCTACTGCCACCGCTACCGCTGATGCTACCACTGGTGCTGGAGAGACTACTCCCACTCCTACCGGAGTCACTCCCGTTGTCAACGCCGCAAGCTCCAAGTTTGTTGCTGGAGGAGCCAGTGTTTTCGCTGTGCTCATTGCTCTCTTGATGGTTTAAGCAGTTGGTAGTTTGAGGTCGTGTTTGTAAAGCTCCTGTTTACACGATTGTGTTGTTCACCTTAATGCTCCAGATGCAGATCTTTCAAGATCCAGAATCCCCCCGGTCAGAGTAGACTAGTACTTAATAACCTGAATTTACATTTTTTTTTCTTCTAAAGTGTCATAAGAAAATGTGAACAAACGTATATCCAATCGGGGAGAGCAAGCGCCGAAGATTGGTCATGTAGACTCCATCTCGGAATACCGAGGTCTAGCGAGGGTCCGAGAGTGGAGATTCCGCGTGAGGATCGACAAAGATGGCTTCCGATCGCGATACCAATTCCAATTTCGTGCTACAACTTCACTGATTGATTTGTCAGATTATTTCTTGCTATAACACTTACACCAGACGTCAATCCCCCTACAGCAGACTCCGTCCCTCGCTTTGCAGTTCCTATATCATTTCTCAAACCCTCAAGTAAGTCTCGTGATGAGGGCGCCCATGAAAGCACCTTCTACTTGGGGTAGTACAGCTCGTCGTCTCGCATGTTGGTCGTTCTTCATCTTTATTTGTTACTGGAGTGCTGAATGGATCTCAGATCATAGAGGCGCAATCTCTCAAATTCCCCTGGCGAGCACGTTAGTCGCAGCACCAATAAGGCTCTACCAGCAATATTTATCCGGAGGAAAGCCATTTAGTTCGTCTACGTTTAGGCTACAGGAGCAGTCTCAGCCTATCAATATGGGCTCTCAGATGAAGAATCTAGATGGCCTCAAGGAGCATCTCACTCATGATAAACTTGACGAGCTACGCAGTTTCTGGTTTGAGCATATCCCTGAGGAGGCCAACCGTATCATCGCTCCTGGAGAACTGCAAAAGAGATGGTTCTTCTCAGACAAAGAGTTCGACGATGTCTGCGTGTAAGTCACACCCTTGCTATCAATCGACCATGCCCTCTAACACATCCTAGCACTCGATTCAGCCCTGTACTAGAAGCCATCCGCAACGCAGGAGTCACATCCGCGCAAGAGCTTCTGTCCGTTGCGAAGCCTCGGAACTCGCTAGACTGGTTGAGTCTCATCATTCTGCTCGACCAAATCCCACGCAACTCATATCGTGGGGACAAGTCATCAATCTGCTTCAATTACTTCGACCCTATCGCGCAGCAAGTATCCCTCGAAGCCATCAAGCAGGGCATCCCAGATAAGGCACCCGAGATCCGCTGGGTCTTCTCCCACCGCAACTGGTTCTACATGCCCTTGATGCACTCAGAAGATATATCTGCGCACGAAAAGGCTGTCGCTGCTTTTGAGCAGATGAACCAGGATATACTGAGCTTGATGGAGGGAACAGGCGGTGCAGATGAGTACGAGAGGAAAGCAAGAGAAGTAGTGCAGGCGGATCCTGAAGCAGCAAAGGCAGTTGGTGAGACGAACAAAGTATTCGAGGAGAAGCATATAGTGATTATCAAAAGGTTTGGGAGATATCCTCATAGAAACAAGGCGCTTGGGAGGGAGGCGACGCCAGCCGAGGTGGAGTTTCTTGAGAGTGGAGGTGATACCTTTGGTAGCTGAGATGCCTGAGCCCGCATTTCGTAGCGGATCATTATGATCTGCGCTATAGACAATGACCTCATTGCGCTAAGATGCCTGCCATGCTGGTCCAGGTACGCTATCAAAACAGTTGATGATCATATTCGCGTATCAACGCCAGAGCGGCCAGACATGTACATGTTGTGGGCATAGACAAGCCATCGATGACAGGTAGTAGGTACCAGATACTAAGCTGAGAGTAAGTTCAGAATAAACGCTCGGCGTTTTGAAGAATTGAGTATCCCAAAGTCAATCAATCCGTGCGGGCAATTGACTGCAACGCGTCTCATGACAGCGTACAGAGTATGCGAATCCTATTGAGCCATGCATACGCCCAAAGCGAATACGTCCAGGCAATTTAAACGACAGCCGAAAACGCCCCTTTGCGCCAATAGGAATCGACGGGTACGCTAGTGTGACAGCCCCAACTACCGACAGTCCACTAACGACCAGCGCCCGCCCACCAATTCCCCAGGGGCTTTTTTACGGTTCTGACACTCAATTACCCAAACAGGCACCTCGGATGTCGAGTGATCCGACTTCCAGCATCGGGAGTTGACCTGATGTCACAATGCCATTGTCCGTCAAATAACACCACTTTTCTTCTTCCAATTATTATATATTGTAAACAAAGTTGTCTTTGATTCACAATGGTTACTACAAGAGCAAGTTCTCGAGGCGAGAGTGTTGGCACTGAAAGTTATACTACAATCGATATACCTCCTACACCAGTTACACGAAACCGAACGATGAAGAACACAGACTCGAACCCCTCATTTTCAAATGGATCGTCCAAGAAACACGCTGCTCATACATGGCATCATACAGCCTCATCGACAACAATTCTCTGGCTCGCTGTATCATTGCCCCTCGTCATATGGGATATAGGCTACGTCTTTGGCAGACCTCACACCATGCCTGAGGGTTTCCTCCACTGGCCATTATACGTCCCGTATGCGCTGTACGGCGAGGTCGATCACGTATACGGTTGGAAGGCGTTCAATGCCAAGAACGGCTTCACGGCTGCCCAGACGGCATTGAATGTTGTTGAGACGGTCATGTACTTGGTGTATTTGTACATGCTGTGGACGCGCGCGGACAAGACGCTTGATGGTGCGAAGAGGACTTTGAGTGGACGTGATGGTGCGTTGGCTGTTGTTATTGGCTTTAGTGCTGCTGTTATGACGCTGAGCAAGACGATCCTATACTGTAAGTGAGTCTGTCCTATGCATGAGATCAGATCTAACGGACTCAGGGGCCAATGAGTATTATAGTGACTTTGACAATATTGCTCACAACACACCGATGGACCTACTCACTCTTTGGATAATTCCCAAGTAAGTATCTATACGATGTGCTAGAATTAATACTGATTCTTTATCAGTGGTGCCTGGATTGTCCTTCCGACCTACATGATCTCCAAGTTTGGTGGAGATATTCTCGATGGCTTGACACTCGCTTCAAGCCAAACAGTAAAGACAGCATAGAATAAGCACAAGTGGTCTAGTTGAACGTCTTTTTTAGTACTTTACGGACATGTATGAGCAACGGCAATGAGGGATGATTTGTGAATGACGAGCTGGGTTAGAGTGCTTTGAGGCTTAATGAATATTGGAAGAACCACTGTGAACTTACCACGGTCGAATAATGACATTCATCCCCATCAGCACATTGCAATAAGAGCAACTTACATCAGTATTTGATGATTAACTACTACCCTTCCAACCTCACCCGTACCTCCCACAGCAAACATAATAAAGCTAGCTATAACTATCGTCTAGACATGTCATTTCATAAAGAAATAGGGGTATTCGCTTAAAACAACCTGAAAAACAAACATAGAAAAACGCGTCAAGCGTAATAGCGATCACACATCTCCTCCTCAGCAAGTCTCATTCTCATCTCATATCAGTCAACCCTCCCAGATCAGCATACTGCTCCCAAGCAGGCATCATGTCATCATCCTCCTCCGTCATCTCCCCCGGACTCTCCATAAACGTCTGCATCGCCGCCCAATCCGCATCCTCATTCACGATATACGGCTCCTCCACCTGTGTCTTTATCCGCAGCGGCTGCGGGAACATGCTGTGGCGTCTGCTCTCAACCTCGTCTGCGTAGCGTGAGTCGGAGAACATCGCGCTGATGGGTCGGCTGCGCTTGGAGACGCGGCCGGACATTGAGCGTGCGACCATGGACATTACGTCGCGGCGGCGTTCGCGGCGTGCTTTTACGTCTTTGGGGATCGCGGGCTCGACGTAGTACTCTGTTAGGGGAGGGGTGTCGAGGGGTGACTCGGTGTCGTTGGTTTCGACGCTCTCGGGGGTTGTGTTGTATGTGTCGTCTGTTTTTGTGTCGCTTCCGTCTGTGTCGATGCTTACATCGTTTGTGCCGTTGCCGTAGCCGTGGACAACGATTTCGTGGTATGTTGGTCGTGAAGGTGGTGTTATAGATTGAGGGGGTGTGGTAGCGGGTGATTTAAACATGCGCATTGATCGTCGAATTGTTGAAGAGCGGCTGAGTGCCTGTGTGAATGAGTTTGAGCGTGATGGACGTGAAGGCATTGATGCTCGACGCTCCATCTTGCGGTTGTCGTGTTGTGTCTGGGGACGATCTCGGTGAGTGAGAGCGAAGTAGTCGATGTCCGGCTTGATCTCAATCTTCCCAAAGGAATCTTCTCCTGCGTCTGCAGCACCATCCGGTTGCACACTCCAGGTCGGTCCGCTAGTAACGTACTGGGTCTGGCGTCTCAGGATACGGTCCAGATCGCGAGGTGTATCCCAGGGTGGGAGCTTATCAGTCAACGCAGACAGACTGTAGTGAGCCTCGTTGATCTCATCCTCTTGCAAATCTGTTGCTGTGTCTGTTGCGTAGCGAAGGACTTGGTATGTTGCGTAGATGAGAATCCATCGGACCTTGCGAGCATCCACCAGCGACACCTTCTCCTGCTTATCTGCCTTGTTTGGCGACATGATAGAATCTTCTTCGAAGCGTCGATATGCTCTCACGAGGTCATTCTGTGCAACTCCTGGCTTCATCAAATTAGATGCGTTGATCAGCGCTGTGTGAGCCGTGACTCTGCGATCCGATCTGAGAGTCACACGTCCGGGAAACCAAGACATGCGCCGCGAGTTGTTGCCATTCGTGTCTGGGAGAAGCGGCAGTGGATGATCAAGAACATCGTATCCATGTTCAAAGTCGAAAGATTGAACCAGTTGGATAGTGCAGATCCCTCCGTGAGCTGTAGGCGGCATGGTATGTGATGAGGTATACTGATCATCAACGAGTAGATCATACAAAGCCTCAAAGTTCTCACGCATAATACGTAAAACAGCCGGATCAAACAAGTCGTTGCCAGAGTCCGCAGTCGGCGGGTAATATCCCAGCTTCGTCGTATAAAACGATAACAAAAAACTTCGGAAGCGCTCAAGATGTGCCCGGGCGCCTGCTGAGACGCTCAAATGAGCCTCTGACAACTCATCGTCCAGAAAGGTCTTCAGCATAGACGATGACCGCGTCATGCGATAATCAAGTTCGAGATGTCCTTTACGTATGAGTTTGCGTGTTGAAGGGCTGAGCTCCTGTTCTCTTCGTCAGCGGCTGGGCCTTAGCATTCTTGCTCAGGAAGAAGAAAACAACAAACCTGAAACCCAGCATTTTCGAACAAGTATTCGCTCATGCCGACGCAATGTGCAAAGGCTCGGATGTACAGCTCCTTCATTTGAAAACACTCTGCGAGCTGCAGTATCGCCAGTGCGTGGTTTGGCTGGTTGGCCATGTCGAGATAGCCCTCCTCGTCGAAATACTCCATCATATCTGAGACATTGTCGTCTACGCCGGAACGAAACTCATGCATACTGTGGAGAAGACCAATAAGAGCATTGCCGAGACTGTATCCAACCATGGATCTTCGAAACACCCAGGCGAAGAAATTGCGTGTTGCGAGGTGGTAGTTGAAAGCTTGTGTTTTATCTGTCGTCGGAGGTGGCGGGATGTATAGTTCGATTTTGCGTGTTGTGTTTTTCTTACTCCATCTCATGAGCTCGCGAAGATTGGGTGTTTGAACGCCCTCCCACACGAGAAATCTTTGGATGAGGGGGTAGCATTGGGCTTCGAGAAGTGCTGAGAAGGGGACCTTGAAGGAGGGACCTCGTTGAGAATGACCTTTTGCGTGGAGATGCACCATGCAGTTTCCATTTCGAAACCACAGTTCAGGGTCCTGTTTCTGTAATTAGATATTCAGTTTCACGAGTAATTCTCGACCGACTCACCCGTCGAATGTTGTCCCATTCTGTGCACGTTCTCGCAGCTCCATCCCACCGCTTCACAGTCGGATGATAGTCCATTCTCCCATTCACAAAAGCGCTGAACCGCAGGGAACTCTGCCTAGAGTTCACCTGTATAGACGGCATAGTGAAGGGTCGTATATATATGTGCTTTTGGCCAGAATGCCAAAAATATCAACGATCAAAAGCAGCTGAACAAATCTGCAGCAAGCCGCGTCGTCGGGATGTTGCAGGTGAATGAGTCTTTGTTCGTTAAATCCCCCTGCTCTGTTTAGAAGAAAAGGGCCCTGTCGTTTCTTTTACGAGCGCGTAAAATAAAATAAAAACCCCATCACAACTCAAGTGATACGGCCATATCGAAGGGCAAGAGACGTCAGGCGCAGGGTTCCATGACGGGTCCTACGTAAGAGATCTCCAGAAGATTCAAGACAAGACGAAAGATCTCAGACCTCGCCCAGGGGGGGCATACGGCCATGTTAATATTGGATCTCTCTCTAAGCTGCTCTCAACTGTCACAACGCACCAAGCCTAGCCTTGCCCAACAGGGCGAACCCTTGAACCCGGCAAGACAGGGCCCCGACGGTCGGAATTTGAATTCAAGCCAAGACCAAACCCAAGAGGTAAGACACTATCAAGCCACCGCATTAGCGTCCTTTTTTCTCATTGACTCGTTCAGCGTCTTGTCGTCTTTGAGCTGGT